TTGAATCTAGCAATTTTTGACATTTATAAATGTTTCAAATATAAATGCCATTCAAGTTTTTTTTTGGGTGGCCTATTTTTCAAAGAACAGGTGCCATTTTTTCAAATGTCATTTTTCAAAAAACAGGGTGGCTTATAAAAATTTTTAATCTAAAAAATATTAGTTTTGCATGCACAGAAAATGTGGCAAATAAATGTGTGTAAAATGCCAATATCTTTAATTTTCGAAGTTTATATAGAACAAATAATTTGTATGAATTTGGAAGAAAAATGTCACATAAATGGTATAACTAACACCATATCCTTTTTGGCCTTTAAGCGAAATGGACTATAAGCGAAAACTACTGTATAAATATATTTTTTATTAAATTCAAAAGATGATCGATACATTCAGCGAATCTCTCCTTATCACTACCACCTAGAGTGATATATAAAAATATAACTTGTTCTATTATTGTTATAAACAAATAGCGAAATAAAAAAATCCCACTGTGCATACAATTTTACATACAGCGGACAATAATACTTAAAAAAATAGTGGGAGGCAAATCAAATTTTATTCGATGTTTTTTGTTAATTTTGTGAAAGTAGATTGAAATCGCGTAACTGTTAAAATAATAGGCACTTGTTTTCTTCACATTGGTGAATAAACCTCACAGTGGTCGACTAACGAAACATGGAACAGTTATTTGGAAATTATGATAGCTTCGATGTGAAGCGCCTTGCTATTTACGTAAATATTAAATGACTTCTTTAATATTTATTCTATGAAATGGCCATTTTACTTCCAATTCAAATGAAACGGACAAGAAGGTGAAAAACAAACAAATACCGTGGCATTTTTTCTGGGAAATATTTAAATGTTTTTCTTTTCTAACAAATACATCATTTAGTTTAGAGACTTTGTGAAATAAATGCAAACAAAAAAAGAATTATAGATTCATGTGAACGAAATTGAAAGTGTCTGAATAAAATAAAACTAGTGTCAAAATTGTACAATTTTGTCACCACCAAAACTGTCAAACACAAAAGAAATGGTGAAAATGTTGGACCTAGATCGTCATGCCGATTGCCCCCTCTGGGAGGCATTAGCATCACCAGATGTACCCTGGACCGGCCTACACTATGCCTGCCTAAATGTTTTGCACACCTATTGCAAAGTATTCGATAAACAAGAAATTTATGATCTCATTGTAAGGTAAGAAAGATGAAAACCAACAACACCAACAACAACAACAGTAAAGAAACAGAAAACAATACACACACATTTCACTATCCATGTTCACTCACTCATTTACTCACCTACAACGTCATGGCAAACACCAGAAAAATGTATCATTCAAAAATATTTGAAATATTGATGGGCAGATGGATAGATACAATTGCAGAAATCTATTTGGCAATGATATCATTGATGTAGTTGGTGGGGATGTGTTTTACCATTCGGAAAATAACAAGGGGTAGTTTGTTTGTTGGAAAATAAAAAAAAAAATAAAATTCTAAATTTTTAATATACAAAAATTATATTGTTTTTGCGTGTTTCAGCTTGACTATAACTTCCAAACATACACCAAACACTTCATAGATTAGTTACGGGGGTACAAAACTCAAGGTTTTATAATGGCCAACACAATCATCAGATCTCTATCCCACAGAAAAATCTTTGGAGTATCAAAGATAGCAAACGTTTTTGCCACCAGTGTGTATTTCAGTCGAATCCAAATGTTCTTTAAATTGTACTATCTATTCGAAATTTGTTAGTGTTTGTAGATGTAAGATTTTCTGAGTGAGGATCGGGTTAAAATGGAAAAGAGCGATACAAACATACGAATATTGTTTTCTAGTCTTTTACAACCCTATCTACAATTTTATTAGCAAAATTTGTGTAGAATATTTCGAGGTCAAAAAAGTAGTCCTGTGTTATTCAGAAAATAAGGACGAAAAGATGCACAAGGACTCGAGATAGTAGGAGGATATATTTTACAAAAATATTCTTCAATCGATTTGATTGGAGACATGTCATCCCTAAAGTAACCCGCAATAGCCGCAAACCTATGACGAATTTGTCCTTATGGGTTCTTAATGTACACACCAAGGGCTTTCACCACGATAAGGTAATTTCCACCTCTCAAAGGATGACATCTATTTTGTGTCACAGTATTTTCTGCGAATATTTTTTTTTATTCACCAGGAAAACATAATGACAACTTAAAGCTATTTTAGTGATAAGATGATACTTAAACTATCATAATTATCGTACCGTAATTACAAATTACAGGTTGCAAAATGTAATCCAATTATCGGAAATGCCGCGGAATCATTATATGTGTGGTTTATAAAAAATATAATTGAAGATCTTCTGTGTACACGTCTTTTATTCACCAGGAATCCGGAATGTCATATTACTGCCACATCGGCGAGAATACCAATGCCAAAACATAGATCTATGTCAAATACTTTTAGTAGATACGTTACTTTCGCCTAATGAGCCCATAATGTCATCGATTGAAAAATGTGTCAGAAACCTTTAAAATACGGCAAATGATGCGGAACCTTTATAAGGGGGGATATGCCAAAACATGGACTAACAGCCTGTTTTTGTAATTTGTTCCGGCAGTCACACGTATCGTTCGTATTAAAACGTATACGTCGAAAATTTGGTTTTTGTAATAATTGTAAAAGCTTTCGTCTAGAAACGATTGAGCTTTTTCATTCGTTTTTAACCATTAGTGCCAAAGTGTTTCTTTTGGTGTATTGTTGCAAATTTTCCAATAGAATTATTGCAAAATGAGGGTAACTCTGTTTATTGTTTACAAACAGTTTTTTTACATAAATAGTGTCAAAATAGAAAATTCAAAATGTTTGGTACGATTGCAATTAATTTTAATTATAAAGAAAAGCAAAATATTCCCCAAAGGAGAATACCTATGGCATTTAATGATACAGCTACATTATTCCACTTGTTATCCCCTTCAAATTTATTGGATCCGAAAACAGGACGGCCAGTTGCTAATTGTGGGTAAAGTTCCATGAGATCAACCAATTTTTGGAATTGGGCAATCGTTGTCCTTTTGTTGCTAGGGGTTCAAACAATTCAATATAATTTTTTACATTTCATAGGGATATATAATTTTTTACAAACCATTTCTTCTTATATATTTCATCAGAATTTTCCATATTTGTTACGTTCTTTTCATTAACAACACACAAATTGTAATGAACAAATAGTTTTCTTTATTATTTTTTTTAAACGAATGGTATTTTCTCTTCGTTTGTTTTTGACATTTTTGTTCGTAAATAACGCACCGTTTTGTATAACAAAAACCAAAAAAATACGAATACCAAAAGCTCTTTCCTATTTCTCACTCACTACAACCGGTAAGTTGTTTGCGAAAACCAAAATGAGCAATCGTTCGTTTTTTGGACGAACGAATGGACATTTTACATTTACAAAAACAGGCTGTAAAATATCCAATTTTCATCACAATACCACTGAGCGGAGAAGTATAGCCGAGTGGAGCTGAACATATGATACCCTACCCAACTACCACGAAAATCTAACATTCTGCGGTTTTTTGACCGATTGACCGATCATTACCTAAACAGCCGTTCTAAACATTTGTAAAATGTGTGATATTCTGCATACAATAATAGCCTCTAGAGCGACTAGAAAGCCTGATAAAAATAAAGTGTTCGGTTCATTGCACCCCCTAAATATCATCTCAACATCGCCGAAAATTATAGGCATCAGTGCGACATTTGCGCCCTCTATTGAGTTAGTAATAATACTAAACAATGTCACTTCCGAATACATACAACACTATAATTGGTATCAATTTAAAGGTCAAGCACTCATCTTGGATATACTATCAATTTCCCGGGTCTATATCCTTCAGGAGTAAATATATATCTCTTGGAATACAAATTTTGTAATTTTTCACACAGACATCTGTGTTCATTTGACCCGCTAAATTTTGATAATTATACTTCGGCCAGATTCCGTTCCTGGTATAAAATTTAGTTGTGTTCCGGTCATAATTTTGGTTTCTATAGCGACCAGAAAAACAGACAAAAATTATGTTTATGGTCAATTTTATCCATTAAATATTAACCGATCATTACAAAAAACGATAAGGGGCTTCGTTGACCACAATCCATCCTACATGCAAAAATTCGAGACGATAGTTCCATAACTGTGGCCTATCGTATTTACAAATTATAATGGTCAAATGGATTGACGGTCGGGCGGACACAAATGTCTATATCGACTCAGCTAGATATGTCGATCGACTTAAACGTGGGGCTGCATAAAGCTATAATACCCTGACAACATAGTTGTGTAGGTTAAAAAATGTATGTGCAAAAAATATAGTTTTAATATTGTGATCTCCATCATGATTTCAAAATTATCATGCCATAATTCAAAAAGTTGGTCAATGGTGAATTTGCACTTCTGAGTTCTTAATATACTCACAGGCTATTTCATTCCCAAAGGAATTCTGGACCATTTTTGAACCTTTACATGTCGTCCATCAGATGATTTGTTATGATTGGGTTCAAATTGTACCCTAAAGTTTTCTTTTAAACGCAATTGAAATGATTTTTATTGGATTTTTTCTTAATCTGCTTATTTTAAGCTGATTGCCCTTTTATTTGCAGGTTAAGAAAAATTTAACAAATTCTACGGTCATAACTTGTTATGAAAATGTTAAATGTTGAGTTTCATCCATTTATATTTTATTTCAAATTAACAACAAATTAACAACCACAAGTTAACATATAGAAAAAAGCTTTTACACATAACAGCATTTTAACATTAAAATGTGAAAAGCTTTCCTTAACAGAATTAGGTAATAACAGAAATGTTAAGTATACACCTACGGGAAATACAGCAATGAGACAGAACATATATCGCATGCGATATTTTTTCTACACAATTGTTAATCACACCACACAATATATCAATAATTAATTACTTTTTTTGTCTTCTTCTTATTTTAGAAAAACCTGTCAATCCTGTAAATGCCCCCGCGAAGCACATGCCATTTATCAGCAACAGTCAACCTCGGTCCATGAACGTTTGGGCTTTAAGGTGGTATCACCAGCCGATTCTGGCGTGGATCCTCGCGATTTGGGCTACACTTGGGTGCCTCAGGGCATACGTGTGTCGTCGCGCATCAATCGCTACTTTGAACAATTGCCAGTGGAGAAAGTGCCAAAAATCGGTAGCGAGGGCGCCCGTTATCGTGAACAGCAGATCTCATATCAATTGCCCAAGCAAGATCTATCGCTGGAGCACTGCAAGCACTTGGAAGATGTGCATGAGGCATCCTATGAAGATTTTGTGACGGCACGCAATGAAATTGCACTAGACATAGGTAGGATATTCTCAATACGAAGTAAAGGGAACACAATTAAATGTATTTCCTTGTTGTCCTTCAGGTTATATTAAAGATGCCCCGCACGATGAGCACTGCGCCCATTGCGAGGGTGAAATCAATGTGGGCGATATGGTGGTGGCCGCTCCGAAATTTGTGGAAAGCGTCATGTGGCATCCACGTTGCTTTACCTGCAACACTTGCAATGAATTGCTGGTCGATCTGACATATTGCGTGCACGACGATAAAATCTACTGTGAACGTCACTATGCGGAACTGTTAAAACCGCGTTGTGCTGGCTGTGATGAGGTAAGTGCTGTCTTCTTGTTGCTGTCTTCTGTTTGTTTCTAAGCCATTTTGTGTTAATAAGAAAACAAAGACAAAGGGAAAGACCAAGGAAATTTCAAGGTTGTTTTGGGCAAACATGGCTAAATCTTGACAAGCCGGATATGACCATAAACCACGCTATTGATTTACCCAATGCAAGAAAATGTGTGAAATGAAGACCATTAAAATTGGTTACCAAGCCAATTTGATGGTGTATGGGGCGAAAGGGGGAAGGTTTTAAAAACAATTATGACGTTTAACGTTAGCTGATTGCTAGATTGCGATAAAGTATGACCAACACAACACCAACCTCAACATCAGCGTTGTTACAAAATACCAAACATATTCATTCTGAAAAGTATCAATTAAAAGTTTTTCATGTTTTCATTGGAAACGAATCCCACTTTGTGCCAACCAACCAGCCACCAAACGGGACAATGGACAATGAGTTTTCGTTATCTGAAACATTAGCAAGGAGTGGTATTCGAATGCGCGTCATCGGGGGCTATGGCCAGAGCAATTATTTTTTAGCGTTTTCCTTTCACTGCCGGATGACATTGAACTTTGATTGTAATGAACATCCAGAAATGAGTACAGGTGGATGATTCTAAGCGGCATCCTTTATTGTGGCCCAGACTATGCCAAACCAACAATGAGTTTTGCAGAACACTTGGTGTTCATTTTGTCAAGTGTCATTGTTGTGCCAAGTCGTGTAATTTCGAAGTGTAGAACAAAAGCTAACATCACTTGGATTTGATAATGCTCGAACGCGAAAAGTGGTCCTGAACGAGAGGAAGATAAATTATTAAAACGTGTAAGTAGTTGCAACTACTTTGTGTGTGCGTGTTGGTGTTGTGAGTGTGTGTATATTTCTGATTTGGACAAAATGATCGATGGTATTCAAGTGTATACAAAGAAACTTTCTGTACTTTTTTTATATTCATTAAAGTAGGTACAAATAATAGCTACAATTTTGATTAAAGTTTCAAAATGCCTCCAAGAAATGTTAATTTTACTCATATAATACATATGATTTTTTTGGATTTGCGAAATAAAAGAATTGCAGACATTCTAAATAACGTTCTAAATAACAGCAGAGCTAAATTATTGAAATTGTAAAAATATGTTAAGTTCGACCTTAAATATACCGAAAAAAATGTGAGAAAAATATGATTACCAAATGGGTTAATGGCGCTATACCAAGACGGAGATCAATATTGATCCCCGTTTTTTAGTTCAGATATGTGGGGGTAGCGTTATATGGAGGCTAGACTCAAACTTGGTGAATTTTTTTGTAAAATAATGTGCTTACAATGGGAATCCAAAATACTAAATTACAATCAATTTGATTGAAAAACGTGTCGAAAATCCCAAAAATAACGATTGTTGGATATACTGTTATATGGGGGCTACTCTGAAACTTGACTCGATATTAATAATTTTTGGTAGATGCGTGTGCTATACATTGAGAAACCAAAATACAAAATACAAAATTTGATGCCATTCGGTTTGGAAAACTTGTACAAAATCCCCAAAATACCGAATATTGGGGGTACGGTTATATAAAAATACAGAATATTGAGAGGTAAAGTTATATTGGGGGCTACATAAAAACGTGGACCAATATGTTCCCGTTCAATACCAAACATCCTATGAGTACTAGCAATGTCTGTGCAAAATTTCAGAGCTCTATCCTAAATATTGGGGTATGTATCGTGATTTCAACAGACAGACGGACACACATAAATCGACATAGAATTTTATTCTTATTAAGAATATTCATATTTTGTGGGGTCTCCGATGAATATTTCAAGGTGTTGCAAACGGAATGACAAATCTAATATACCCTCCATACTACACAGGAGTTTTATGTTTTCAATTGGCTCACACCTTACAAGGAACAGAACAACTTTTACAGCTTTCTATCGGAGTCTAAAAGTCATCTGAATTTTTTACACAATATAAAGTCTGATATAGCGAAGAATTCTCCATTATTAACTCAGAAATCACGATTTCGAATTTATTAATTTATAATATTTATTGATTAATAATATATTCCGGTATACGTTTCGCTATAGGCTCAAATAATGTCCATTCTCATTTTCGGAATTTCAAAGATTCCAACCAAAGTTATTGTAATTTCAAAATTCTTGTAGAAAGAAAAACTTATTTGCAGAAAATTTAATATAGGACTCTTTTTTGAAATGCCCCCCCTATTAAACTCCCACCTCAATTTTGGTATTTGGCATTCCGAATATAAATCCATGATCCAGGCTTTAGTCGCACTTTCGCACGAAGTAGCTGTGTTTTCACTTTCTGGGTACATGGTGAATAAATAGGCCCATTAATCAATATAGGCCCATATCTTTAAACTGCGCCCATACCAAGGCTTAGCTTAAGTTGCTAGTAAAATCCTACTTGCACCCCAGGTCCAGTCCATACAAACTATCCACATTCTTCCTAATAATTCTGGATTCCTAATGTTTCAGCTAACATAATATTAGCTTGCCCTGATAAAAGAAAATATTTAGTGGTGAGATCCAAAAAACGCTCTGAGGTCATTCAATTTCGATATTATAAGAACTAGAAGCTAGGAGCTCATTATCTGTGGTGGATGATAGCACTTGGCGAGGTTATTAGGAACCCCGGAAAACAAATTGGAGTTTTGGCGTAATGCATCACTATACCCTCAGCCTCATGGCTAATGAAGGTATATACACATTGATTCGAAAAAATGTGCCTCATCAAAATATTGGTTTTAGACCCCACATTTCTTTGTTTCCGTTTTAGACAATTTGGAGTCGATTTTCATATGTCCGTCCGCCTGTCTGTCTGGCCGGCTGGTGCACTCGAAACTCTCGAAGGGAGTAACCGATTTCATCCAAACCTTGCATATCGTAATATTTCTTCCGCTCTTTCTGTTGCGTCCCCCAAAAAATTGTCAAAATTGATTGACAAAATCGATTCGAACCAAAAGTTAGACAACCTATTAACTTTACCAAGCCTAGATCAAGTCTGAAGATATCACCCATTGGTCCACTTCTTCTGGTACCTCCCCCACATATGATCAAAATTTTCAATATTTATAAATCCAATATCAGGCTAATGGAATGTCAGATTTTGATCTACGTTTGCACATCCTATTATTTTTACCAAGTCTTCATCATGTCCAAAGATGGTACCCGTTGGCTGATACCCAGCTGATACCCCTCCCACACATGGTCAAAATTTTCCAGATTTATAAATTCAATATTAGACAAATGGAATGTCCGGTTTTAATCTAACTGTGCACAAACTATTATTTTTACCAAGTCTAGATTAACTCCAAAGATGTGACCTAGATGTACCTCCCCCACAAGGAATCAATACTTTATATTTTGTAAAATAAATTTGAAGTGAATTCAATATCCGATTTGATCAAAATGAAATCCGAAACCTCTTTGATAAAAAACATATACGTGATACAAAGCGAATAATAACACCTGTGTGTAACTCCGAATACCTCGCCATCCATAGACTGACACAATTTTACTTGTTTTTAAGATGACATGTCTGAGATCAAATCGAATGAATAATATTTCTGTGAAACATATCCTCCTTCTATATCAAGTCCTTGGGCTGTTTTTTCCTTATTTTCTTGAACCGTAAACTAATCACCACAAGACAAAATTTTGGAGCATCCACATATTGTAAGAAAAATTTCGCTTTTAATATTCTAAATAGCATCACCAAAGATGTGAATCCATATTCATTTGATTCATCGTCCTAATGTGTTTTTATCCGATCCTTGCTCAGAAAACTTTCTTTCTGTGTACACAAATAAATTTACATAAATTGGTAATAATTTCTAATGATTATTATTTTCATATTTTATCTTTTCATACATGAATCCTTTATTTGCTAAATGTCAAAACTAATTTTCAAATCGTATTGTATTACCTCAATTGAATTTTAAAACGTCTAATGTAATTAACAAAAGTGAGTAATGCTAATTTACACTGCTCAGATGACAATTGTTCACACACCATTGACAGTTTAGATGGTAATTAGTGATCAGTGATCAAAATCACTGGCAAGTGACAGCTTTCGAATGTGATTGTCAAAACGACTTACATACTATCCAGTAACGATTCACACCTTGCCACGTCAAATTGTCAAACGATTAATTGTTTTAGAACTCATTTAGAATCGTTGTTATAACGATAATTGACACTATAATAGAAATTTTCAATTCTAATTTGCATCAGTGCATTCAAATATTCGGAACATTGGCGTCTGTTTTTTTTTTTTTATTTCTATTTTCATCATCGTTAAAATTAATGACGACACAGAAATAAGCATTTGTTGTTTTAAATATAAAACTGAGTCAATAATATGCTTGTCTACATTTTAATGTGAATGTCAAGACAATGGCATAATTGATGATAAAACTTGCCAAAATGTACTCGTCTGTATTTTTGTGTTTTTTTTATAAACCATGCATGTAAAATTTTGAATGGAATTTGCATTTGGAATGGAGGTAAATAGGGTTATGCAATTTGCATGTATTATAATTTGTGCAGATTTATATTGTTATATGCCAAGTTTAGAATGAGAGGAAAAAATTGTAAGGGGGCTAAGTGGGTTACTAACTCGATATCCCAGAAAATAAATATGGTATAATTCCACGGATCACTGAAAGTTATTTTTTTTAGAAATGATATATTTCGTAGAAAAATTTCGTTCTTTAAAAAACGTAGATTCTCGAACATATTGCACTATTATGTTTGCAACAACCCTAATTATTCATCTTCGACTCCCTAAAGGGTGTATATTCTAATATAATTATCTGTTTAAATTTCGATAGAGGGATGGGATATACAGGTTCACGTTTTGGTCCCCATATAATTGTACTACCCATTTTACCAACCAAAGACACTGTACTTCGACATTAAGGAACAACCCCCCCCTTCCCGATTTTTTTTTAAGATTTTAAATGGGCT